ATTGGTAATTTTAACACCTTCACTGCCGCAAAACGATGCCAAAATGCTAACGATCTTGAAATGGACTGCGGCCAGTAAACAAAACAAAAAGGCAACAAAAACAATAAGACAATCAATGTGAACGTCGAGGCCGCAATGGATCGCGCTGCGGTGTTGTTCTTATACGTACATACGTGTATGTATATAGCTTGTTTGTATGTTTAACTGTAGTCAGTGGCGATCATTAAAGTCAAATCATTTTTCACATTTATTATATCGCCGAGAACAGTTGTCTGAGCTAACCGCTGGGCCTAACACCTCATAAGCTGCACAAGAAATCAACGCGAACAGCAATCAAAAGTTCAATAAAAAAAAGAGAAAAAAAATGTGATCGATTTCATATCACGATTCGCTTGCTTTTCTGATCTTAGGATTGCGGAACAGCCAACACTCATTCCATGCAAGTAATCAAATCGACACCTTCCACCAGCGGCAATAACTCAACAGCATCGACAATCGATCGCCCATCGTCGTCAGAAAAACCGCAATCGTAGGCGACTCAACAACCTTCCCTTAATTTGACTGTCTCACTCACTTGCGATTTTGTGCATCAATAATCCATACATACACGTACATACATTTGGTGTGGAAAAAGAGCAAATTGATGTTGTTCAGGCTCGGCACGACAGCATCGATGTGAGAGAGTGTTAAACCACAAGTTTTACCTTTCTGGAAGCTCCGAGTTGTCATTTAACCGCTAATTTATGTCTCACGCAATTTATCGCTAAGCAAGAATAACAGAATAATAGACTCAACTGTCCGTTTGTCCGGACAGGTTTCCCTCTCACACGATCGCATTAGCATCAATTACGGGCCTGCGAGCAAACTAGGGTTGCCCAATTGTCGATACCAATAATATATTCACACAATCAGCTTCCTTCAGCTGATACGTCCTACAAGGCAAGGACGCCATGAGGTAGGCGGCTCGTTTAGCAATTGACCTGCAATTGATTGCAATTACCTGCAATCCATTAAAATAGCAAATCGCCCGAGTTTCATGTCTGATTATTGGTAATTCTTCAGCGTTTCGCAAAACCGTTAATTGTGTGTAACTATTGTCTCTACCAACAAAATTCATATGCATAATGGCAATAAGTTCTCAGTGGGGAGTTGGCATGAATAGTATCGATTTCACTAATAAAATAAATAAAAAATATAAATTTTTTGTACTTTATCTTGAGTGGAATCACTTAACCACTAAAACGCAATAAGTAACGGGCCAAGAGCAGATGGTCCGAATGAATATTGGTGAGACTTTACGGCTTAGGTTAGATTAGCTTGCACTGGCGGGCTGATGGGCAAGACATGGACCGTTGGTCCTTTGTAGTAACTATTTCGTTGACCATAATGGGTTGTGACCTGGAACCGAGTAATATGCAGCAGTTTACCCTTCGACGCCTTGCCTACTGCATTCTAGCTTCTAGGTTGTTGCCTTAATTGTCGCCTGACTGTCCACATATGTACTGATTTTTTATGCATAGCTTTTTGCGTTGTTAGCGTTGAAATCGTTGAAGTAGTCCGGACGCTTGAAGTGTTCCCTCTAGCTTGGCTCCGCGGAATAAACTCTGGTGCCCACTTCATCAGTAATTTTTGATCCATCCATGTAGATGTTGTACGCTGAACCGGCAGACTTTCCCGTCATCCGGTATTTTTAATTGTAGCTTGAAACTTTTTTGTCCAGATAAAGCGTCCAGAGACTCCAGCGAAAAATTCGCCGAAGGCCATCAATAGTATTGATGATGAAAAGCAGAAGAAAGAGCGGATAACAAAATGGCTATGAGGACTAGAGAAAATGTCGGAAAACGAACCGTTGTATGTAAGAACCGGCGGAAACTCTGCCCAACATATTAAAATTAGAGTCCATGAGAGATAAATAGAGATTGACGTTATTAATTTTATTAAGTAACCTTGTTTGTATGAATTGAATACTTGTTATACAACAAAGAAAAATGGTAGAAGTGACAGCTGTTTCGGAGATCACCACATCTCCTCATCAGACTTCTTATGGCAGGGATCGAACCAACGGATCCTGACTTATGTTTTTTGGTTAGTTAGTTAAAAACTACCCACGCTAAAGCATGCACATGATGTCACTTTACCTTGATTGTTGACGAGATCACGTGTAACGTGACCAAACAGCTATGGCCAAAGCTCTACGCATTAAGATAGCCTCAGCGAATATTGGAAATCTCTCTGCCTTTATAAAGCACAAGAAATGGTTCGATCATCTGAGAAGGTGAAGGCAGCAACTCAGAGGTACCACAATGGGCCTATGAGCCTAAGTGTGCTGGTAGCAGCAGCCACATCAACTCAACTCAAATCAAGTTAAAGAGGTTGCTCGATCATGAAACCCTCATCAAACTCAATGATGTTTATGTTGGGCCTCATACCTTTTCAGGTGTTCGAACCAAATGGTGTGTTTTATGAGGTTCAGCAGATTATAGAAACAAATGAAAAAACGATAACTGAGGGCTAGACAGTCACAGCGATTATGTTTCACTGAGTCCTCCTCATCTTTGTTCCTCCAGTTGCGGCAAAAGTCGTTAGAGAAGCAGCCCATCCTTTCATCATCCTCATAAGGCAATGAGCGGTTAATATGCTTTTGAGGTCTTGCTTAGAAGGGACGTCTACCCCTGAGATATAATCTCCAGCTAGGGGAAAAGTGAAAACTGCCGAGTGCATGGTGAAAACATGGTTGTAATAGTTTAATAAATCGAGCAAAATTTATGCAGAAGTATAGTTGAGTTAAGCATGGAAGCTCAATGAGCCCACTCTATGTCTTAAGTGCAGCCGCTTGCGGTGTTGATGTAGACGATTTTTGGTTCCAACAGGATGGCAGTACAAACCACACACCTCACGAAATAATCAATTTATTAATTAGACTGTGGCGTCGCCTTCAAGATCGTACGAACACCGCTGGACTAGCGTTTATGAGGTTATGTGAATTCGCTTGTCTACGGTGGTAACCAGGAGACGATTGACGCTTCTGAAGAGAATATTCAGTGCGCCATTGCTGGCATACGGCCCCAATCGCTGCAAAAAGTGGCCTAAAATCGGCGTGCCCCCGACCGTGGCGGTTACATTTTTAAAACATAATGGCAAACCCTTGTCTTCATAATGAAGCTGAACTCTTGGCCAAAACATCAAACGAAGTGCGAAATTTTTCTTCTTGAAAACCACATTTCTGGGAGAAACATTCTTTGTGAAATGAAACAAATTACTTTAATCTGTAATTCTTTTTTCAATTATAATAATTTAATTTATTTATTTTTTATTGCTATTAACTTCTTAATTTTAATTGGCTTTTCTTTCTTTTATACATTTAAAATAACTGATACAAAAATTCTTTATTGGAAAACAAATTTCTAGTAATTTATTAATGTCTGCACATGCATATATGTATATAATGTATATATTATATATATAAAACTCACATATAACTTACCATACATAATTAACTGTGAATTCGGTTGCACTGCATTGTATTTATGTTTGTACATATGCATAATTCAACAATTTGTATCAAATTTCTTTTGATCTCTTGTGTGTTTGGTGTGTGTGTGTGTGTGTGTGTGTGTGTGTGTGTGTGTGTGTGTGTATTTTTTGCTATTTGAAACGGAATCGCTTTCATTAATTCATTTAGTTCTTAAATTATTTATTTTTATTTTTTCTATTTCTTATACTTATCTATTATATTTACGAGCATATATATATATATATATATATATATATATATTCCACACATGCATACATATAAATACAATATTATACACGCATATAATACAAATTTTTGTTGGTTTTTTACATTCGCTGTGATTTATCACCAATCAACCGAGTGGATGTATGTACGTGTATAGCTTTTGAGCGTTCAAAGTTACTTTTTATATACATACATACATACATACATGCACATCTTTTTAAATGATCTATAGCAGAAATGCAGCTTTTTTCTTTCTTCGACACACTTTGATTCGGCTATTATTTACACACCATTCATTCGTTCATGACCTCCCTCCGTTGCACCAGATTTTATTGTAGAGAAATTTCGAAAAATGCAGAAACGAAAAATTTTCAACGAAGATTACGGTATATATTTTTGGTTGAAAATAAAAAATAATAAAAGTATTTTTTGTTTTTGTTTTAAATATCAAACTTTATTAATACATTTTTTTTTCACTTTGTATAAATAAAAAATATATTTTCAACTTAAAACTATAGTTGCACTGATTTTGATTTTACAAAAGGAAAAAAAAAACACAACTTAAAATACATTAATATATGATAAAATAAAAAAATTTGCTAATTAAATTCTGCAAAATTAAAAATAATTTTTACTGAACATTTAATGGTTGGATAGTAAAATTTTAAATTTTACACACACAAAATAATTACTTAAAGCACACAATTGCCACAGTTGAGAATAAAAGACACTTCAAAGAAAAAATTCTTAAGTAATTTGGTTTGTAAAGCTTTGCAAGGCGACCAAAAAATGTACAAAATACACCTGTGTGTACATACGTGTATGTAATGTAGTTGCAGGCAAACACAGTAAATATCTAAGCTTAAATCAAGTTATGAATGTAAGAGAATAAACATACATACACGTGCACATGTTTATTGCATGAGATAAAACGTGTTTTATAAACCTATAGTAAAAATTAAATTTTCAACTGAAATTAAGTAAGATTCAGTGCCATTCCGTTCATTACAAATTTACAATGCATTTTGTATGTTTGAATTGCAAAGTTTTTCGATTTTTGCTTAAGTCTAAGGAAATTGTTGCATTTTGCTGCTGAAGCAACATTCAAAATCTCGTTTAACGAGACTTCGTTGCTTCCTTAAGATTTGTGTGTTTTTGTGTTTGTTTTTTTTTTCTTTGTTTCAAAGGATATGTCACTTGAAGCCACCGGAAACTTGCCACAAGTAGAAAGTGTATACATTTTTTTTTGTATTTTTTATTGTTTTTTTTTTTTTGGTTGAAAATATTGTAAGCCTCATGTGGGAATCACCCTAAACTGGGTAGGTCTAGGCCTTTTTCGAGGAGAGCGACGGCAATTGCTTTGCAGACACGAAACTGATTTATTTTTGCGGCGAACTCTCGCAACGAGGCGCCTGTTTTCGTGCACTTCCCACAACTTTCCCGTTTTTCCGTTTTTTTTCTTTTTTCCAGCTTTGGCTTCAAGATTCGAAGCTTTGGAGAAACATTTCAATAAATTCAATAAATAAATTACTATAAATATTAATTGGTTAAGGATATTTACAAAAGTACGTCAGCGTTGTCATTTCTAAGAGAAAAAATTGCGCTCCAACAACAACTTTATAAAGTAAAAATTTTTGCTAATAATTTACGTCTTCACTTCTGCGTCGGCTTAATTTTTTTTGTTTTTTTTTTTTTGCTTTTTTTCTTTTTTGTAAACTTTCAATTTAACTTTCTTATTTTTTAAATCTTTATGATTTCCTTATTCTTTTTTTTTTTTTGATATTTCACTGCAATTACAACTACACTAAACTGTTTTCTACTACTTGACGTCGACAATGAGAGGAACTTCGCTGATATCGATTAGATTTGGTGGCGATGCCAGCTGCTGATGTTGTTGTTGTTGCTGCTGCTGGTGCTGCAGGTGGTGGTTGTGGTGGTTGTGGTGATGTTGGTGGTGTGTGAGGTGTTGCACATGCGCCTGTGCCTGTGCGTGCGTGCCCCGTTGTTGCTGTTGTTGATATTGCTGACTGATGACAGTTGCCGTCGCGCCGCTGGCCGTATTCGAATTGGCAGTTGACAACGGCAACGTTGAAGTTGACAATGATGAAGCGCTTGTCGATGCAGTTGATGAGGTGGACGAGGCGACCGACGACACGGACGCTGCCGGTGCGGCTGCACCTGTGATTCCGTTTGGGCCAATCGAATCATCTACTAAGTCGTCGTTGCCCTCGTTTGTTTGGTTATGGCTGTTGTTGCTGTTGTTGCTGCTGCTGCTAGCGAGCATCATTCGATGGTGTTGCTGAAGGCATTGATTGGCATTCACCGCTGCTGCTGCCATCATCATAGCTGCGTCACAGTAGTTAGACAACATTGTCGTTGGATTCACAACATTTGCCGCTGCTGGCGCTGTCTGCGACATATTGGCAGCATAGAAACAGTTGGCGCTTGAACTACTGTATTCGCTGGCTACTGATGCGCCGGCCGTGCTGCCGGCGCCAAAGAAGCCGCCACCATAACTACCCATACCGCTCATCATACCCACACCCACCTCACCACCACCACTGAAGCTCGACACGCTGTTGCCAGTGCCAACGCCCGTATTGTTGTGATTATTGTGACTATTGTAGTTGAGTAAGCTACTGCTGCTGCTGCTACTTGTGCTGCTGCCCGTGTGGCTGTTGCCAACATCCACATTGCCATTACTGAGGCTGTGACTGTGGTAGTCGTTGTGGTTGTTGCCACTGGCGCCGTTGAGACCAATGGCGTTGTGACTGTTGTGGTGGCCGTGTTGATTGTGGCTAACAGCGTTTGCGGCAGCGGTGGCTGCTGCTGCAGCTGCGGCGGCGGCGGCTGCGGCAGCGGATGATCAAGTTGTTGTCAATTGGCGCCACATTGTGTGTCACATCGATGGCAAGTAAGGCCAGGAAAAACTATTGCCGGACAGCAGCATGTCGCGTATGAGCGTTTCAATTGGGGTTTTACCGACTAGACGCACAAAAAACAGCTGCTCGATGACCTGCAGAGAGAGAGAGAGAGAGAGATAGAGAGATAATGGAAGAGAGGAAGAGAAAGAAATCAGAGATGCGAAATTGATAAGTGAATAGAGAGATATATTTTTTAGAACTTTATGTCGCAGCTTCGTGCAATAGAGTTATTTATTAAGCAGTATAAATGCGTGCCGAGCAACTTACCTGCGAGGAAACCGTGCGCAAGGAGGGCAAGCGGAGGAGCAACTTTCCAAATCGCGTTGGCTGACTGGGGTACTGAGTACGACAGTATTCCTCCAGCGCGCACTGCGATTTCTCCTGCAGCGATTCGATATGTGTGACGTCAGACAAGCCGCATGCATCTAAAATTCACAAAGAAAAAATAAATTAAATGAAAAATCGAAGCTTTAGGCAAAGAGAATAACTTTTTGTTATATAATATTATTTGGAATCAGTCGAAGTATAAAATAATAAATCATTTAGGAGAACCGGTTGAATTTATTAATGAGCTATAAGTCGTTCAAATGCTCCAAAGCACGAAAGTTTTTGGAAATATTTTTAGGTTAAGTAAACTTTAGTCAAAAAGCGATTGGACGAAAAGAGTGGTAAGCCAGTCTCAGAAAGCTATCGGAATTGTCATTTATCAATGATTTCCTGTTGTTAAAATCGTGATTTTTTTCAAAAATTTTAATGAAGAATCTGAAATTTGCAGTCAATATTTCCTGCCTTTCTGGGGGTAATTAAAATTTATTAATAAAAAAATTCTGATTGCTTAATTGCATAACTGTAATAAGTATTATATCAACGGTAATTTTAAAATTCAATATATTAAAAAAATTTTAACAATTCTTCTCGGTGAATTTTTTTAGATATGTAGTTTCAAGAGGAATTTATATATATGGAATTTGAAGTGCATACAGCAGCGGCTGGTTCGAATAAATTCCAACCGCGAAGCCCACTTTGCAACCACCTTTGGCAGCAATCTGAGCAGTACGAGTATATCAGCAGTACGGAGTCGACTATTCTATTCAAGCGTCTCGGGCTTATCTGCGTAAACAAGAAACTTCACATAACCCCACAACCCGGCCCATAGAGCACGCCAAACAGTGACTTTGTGGGGAGTCAACGGCGTGGATTACAATCACCCAAAAATTTCCTGTGAAGATCGGGATAGATCGTCATCTCGTTTTGTGCCCATGCACCGATGTACTCATACGAGTATTCTTACATCCACAATTGCTTCCTCAGTGCGCCATGTAAAGCGTCTCTGAGAATCCGCATTCGACTACACCTGGCGTGAAACGGTTCATGGTTGCTCGAATTATCGATGCTCTGCTAGTTATGAAATGTCGAACCAAACTGAATATAAAGCAAGTAGCTGCTGCCATAAGTGCCAGCTCCGAAAAAAGTATTGCCTCATTAAAAACCACACATCTAAAAATATTCCCTGACATGATTAAATTTTTAAATTTTTAAAGAGACCAAATTAATTAAATAATTCCAATATAACTCTAATTCGTTTATTTTTTTAAATTGTTTAGTTTTTTACAATCCGAACGAAAAATCAAAGCAAAGATGGAAAGGTAGTTTTCAATCTACTGTGAATAAATGCACCGAAAGAGAGTTACAAATCAGCTAGGAACAATCAAAAATATTTCATTGCTATGTTTGGAGAAAGAATTTTTTTTTATTATCTTCGACTGACTGCCATAATTATATATACCAGTACTTTTATTTGATTAAATATACTACATTTATGCATGTTTATGATTGAAGTTGTTCATACCAATGTGCTTTGAATTATTTTTTTGTTAAGCAATATGCGCTCGAATTTTCAAAGTCCGCCGGGAGATTCGCAGTCTCAAATTTACTACAGAGCTTATGTTCACTTTAAACTCTTAATCGATAAACAACTATTCTGACCTAAAACACTCGATATAACAACAGCTTAATTTACTGTAATAAACCGCTAGAGAAGCTGAGCTGAGCTAATCGAACGGTCGCTAAACATTCCTAAAGATAATAGTTCAACCTTCAAATGTTGTTGCTACTGCTGCTGCAATGTGTACAAATGCTGTACAAAAGCCTCGAATGACACAAAGCAAATATTGTACATACATATGTGCATATGTATGCACATGTACGTGCGTACACACTTATACACAGCCTCCTATTATGCTAGTGAATATGGACAGCGCCAGTCGCGTTGCCGGTAATTGACATACTCAGCAATCAACAATAATCAACATACAGCACTCAACATTTAACAAGTATTTAATTAATGCCTTACTCACTTTTGTTTTTGTTCTTATTTTTTATTCTATTTTATTTTGAAATATTTTAGTTTTCTAATGAATTGAACTTAGCTTGAGTTGTACTTGCTTGTATATATGTATGTATATTTAAGTTTTTTTTTTACACGTATGTAGTTAATGTGTGTGCTGCTTCTTGTAGGCATTTCAAAGCCACTGAGAAGAAGAGAACCTAATAAAATAGTTATTACTTCGTCACAAAACGAAAATGAGTTTTCATAATTAACAGCTTGGCTGAGTCAAGTGCGCAAGAAGCCCCAGACGACTTGGGAGAAGAGTTGTTTGCGTGACGTTTGATGCGTATACGCCGCGTTGAGCCATGTGCGCCTCGGTATGTGTTAGTTGATGGAAGATAACGTCTTTATTTCTAGCAAAGTCTCTATCTTAAAAGTGACTGAAAGCTGACCAGTAGCGCTGTCGTCATATTGGCCATTGCGTGCATTTCTATTTGCTTCTAGTATACATACACACTTGCACATACACATGTATGCTTTGGCGATTTATGGTTGTATTGTGTGTATATGGCATAAACGGCACTATATATATTATATATATGACCATGTAAAAGCGGTTTGTTATGTAAATTTTAATTAAATCAATTTGCTGACGTCAGCTTCATACATCTACGATCGACTGATAATGTCTGGAGCTATTGTTTTTTTTATTTTTTTTTCTGTATTAATTTTAATTTTTCCTTAAGGTGTTTTATACAATTATTGCGCACTTATTGTAGTATTTTTGGCTTTTGCCTCATCATTTTTTCACCGCCTTTTGTTCGTTTCCACCACCAGACATCTTTCCATAAAGTTTGAAGCCCAGCGCAACCTGTTCTCTTGGAATACAGCAGCGCGTCACCTTCCGTAAAAGGAGAAAGCACTAAGGACTACACCGACGACAGCTCCTCTAGTCAATCGAACGCCAAGAGATGAAAAGAATTACGTCCAGTTGGGTCTTAGTCGAGTTTTTTTGGCTCACAGATTACTGTAATATGGTTATCCATTTCTGGGCTTCAAAAGCACGCGACAGTATTTAGTATTTTGATATCTGTAGAAACACGCTTTGTTTTGGCTTAGAGTCAGACATTTACGGAAATGGATCTCAAGAAACGTTAAAACTGTTCAAATTTCCACGAAAATGGTGAACCAGACGTTGTCACTTTTCGTGCTTTAAGAAGAGATTATCGTGTATCTCTCAATTAGTAAAATTTAAAAAAGATATCGCCACTGTAAGAATTTCTTACGGCATATTATGGAGTATTTTGCAATTGGACTGACACCTACATCCATAAAAAGTCCAACTTACTTAATAACTAAACCCAATTAACCATAGGTCGATTGGATGCTTGAACAAGCGGCAATTTTTCGAAAATAATTATGGCATTTGGAGCCCCGAATTGAAGAGAGATTACAGCAAAAAAAAACTTACTGTTTGGTACGCTCTTTGGTCCGGGTCCAATGATAGCGTTATGAATGTGTGATAACCAACCTTATTGGTCTGTTATAGAAGAACACGACTTGGACAAAACGTAATTTCAGCAGTATCATGTCACAAGCCGCACAACAATACCGAATATGGAATTATTGCGAGAGAAATTTCCCGGTCGCCTAAGCTTTCGTCTTGACGGTGACAATTCTCCACTCAGATCGTACGATCTGACAGCGTTGGAATCTTATTTATGGGACAACGTGAAAGACCGTGCTTTTGCGAATAAACGTTTGACTCTGGAGCACTTGAAAACCAACATACATATATACATATATTGCCAAGGCTCAAACTTTATATCAAAAAACTTTGATATACATACATATGTACATATTTTATGAAAATAATAGAATGTAAACATTCAATATCCCGAGCTCTTTGGCATATACGTGTACATACATACTTATGTACACCCATACACGTGTATGCAGATATAAATTGACTCAATGGATTTTCCATTCAGTATCAATGGTTTTTGAAGGAGAAAATCTCATGCATGACTACAATAACAATGCAGAGTTAAGCTTAATACTGATTATTACAGAGATTGTTATCGAGTTGTTTAGAATTCATCAGTGGATCAGCGCATGGACAAAATTTAGCTGAGATCTGGTTGAAAGCATCGCAGATTAGTTGTAAGAGGAAAACAAATATCTTAACCAAAAAATAATCCATAATTTACTCAGAAGATTTGAATATAAATGACTCGCCAAAATGATCAGTTGGAGAAAAACCGAGTGCAAAACCGTGATCTGCACCAATCATGTGGGTGTCATGCGAGGTATCATATTCGCGTTGCTGCAGTAAGCTTAGTTGTGTTTTCCATTCTAAATGGTCTTCAAGACAAAACTTTTATAATTAGCTCGAAAGTCGAAGAGCATACCCCAGTGGCAACCCGCTCGACCTTTGAGATGTCGAAATATATATCCTAATGGAAATACTAAAATACTACATCTGTAGTAGTATTTCTTACGGGTGCCGAGAACAAGAGGCTACTTTGTACCTTTACCCAGGAGCCAGGCAAATAAAATTGGCCGTGGGAGAAGTAGTGTTCTCTCAAGTCTACTCCTGCTACCTACCGGTTCCGGGTCCACTTCTCATTCGAAATTCTCGTTCGGATGTTACTGAAATCAACTTTTTTATAATTCTGATCTGGCCAGGATTCGACCCATAACCCCCTGCATGATAGCAGTCTCTTCAACCAACTATCGGGTTACATGTATAAAATTTGAACATCTTGTAGATATGTATGTATGCTTGCAGTAGATTTGCAACGTTTCTCTTCAAATGGCTCATCTTTTCTGACATTTCACAATCTGCAAAAATATTCTCCTTCTCACAACGTGAAAGTACAATAATCTTCCATAGCTTTAGCCGCCTCAAAAATGCTGCAGCGACGTGTCGCCAACGGCGTAAAACATTTAGCCATTTAATTGCAAATTAACCACGAACACAGCCTTTGGTGCGCCCGAAGCCCGCCGAACATCGATAATCAAATCATTTCACATAAAATTATTGTCAATTGACTTTCTATTAGCTGTGGCAGCGATGAAGAGCGCACAGTCGCC